ACCAAACTGCACAACTCCAGTTCTTGCACTGTCTGTACATGCCGATACATTTTGTTCATGGGAAACATTGATAATTCACTTAGGGTTTTTGATTGAGGAATTGTACCTAAACATGAAGCTGCATTTCCTCTTTGAATCAGAATGCTAATTTTTTGAATCAAGAAAGAGGTAGCTCTTGGGTCATTCGTTTCTTTGGATATCCTATTGCCGATTTCACGAATGAACTCCAATGCTTGGGGGCCTAAGGTACCAAATGTTTCAATTCCTATTGCATAAAAAATGAAATTATCTCCCAAATAATTGTATTTCCGTGTTTTTGACAATTCCGCTGATGAAGCTGCTGCACCGCTGGATACAGAAGTCGAAGGAACGTGACAAGGAGCCAAAGTATCGACGCATGTGAAATCCCAGACAACCGGTTTTCCTTTCCGCCAAGGAATGAGAGTCATGCCATCTGGTCGTTTCCCATCATCGCTGCAAGTGCCTGGGGGTTCTAAGATGGAAGGTATATTTGCCTTTATTTACTGTATATTTACTTTTAATGTGACTTAGAATTATTAGTCTTTTCCATAACCACATGAAATGTTGTAAAAAGGAGAAGGCCTGAGATTTCTGTAACAATCCCTGAATTGGGAAAAAAAATTCAATTGGCATATTTATCTTTCAAAATTTTGAACGGAAACAAGTTACGGTTATGTTCTTGAAGATGGTAGCGACTATGTTTGTAATACGCCTTTTTATCTAGTTTGATCCTCTTGTTTTTTCAAATAACGAAGATATTGCCTATGAAAAACATTGTAGAATACCTTGTATAAGATCACATAAACAGTAAGAGAAAAAAAGACGGTTTAATCATGACAAAGTGGCTTACTTTGCAGCACCATCATACTATAAAAAAATCTACTCCAGATAGACGTAGATAAAGAGAAAGATTGAAATTCTTCGACTGCGTCTTCTTTATTTGCTAAAATATAGTNTAAAAGTTGTCAGGTATGCAGAAAGCCAATGTAATTGCTTAACCCATTCTTTAGCGAAAATCCAATAACTGGTTTCAAATCTACTTTTAAAAAATCCACGCCTAATAAAAATGTGAATATAATGTAAACTCAAGCAAAAGAAAAAACTCTATAGGTATATTATTATATGATGGGAAGCGAAGTGAAAGTCGAATCTAAATAATATATTTCTTATGTATTTGAATTGTGAGAGAGTAATCTTTCAATATGTTTGTTTTTGTTTTTGAATTTCAGAAATAACTATTTTAGATAAACTGTAACTATCGTTTTTCTTATATGTCAGTTTGACTAGTCACTATTGTACATTTTGTAGTTAATGTGATTAAATAAACTTATCTTCGTCTATCAAAGATAATAGGATCTTACCATCTCGCGACCTTACATCTTTGATTTTTGATGATTTTTTTGTGAATTTACGACACTCAAACTGAGTTGCGGAATTGATAAGGTTTTGAACTGTTTTGTTAGCCATTTGGTGAGTAGAGGAATCTATGGCTGTTACAATTGGTCGCACCGACTTGCCTGGCTTGTGGATTTTTAACAGAACCTATATTTTTTGTATTAGATACTTGCAAAGTTCTGCCCGAAGTCAATGTGATCAGGTTTTTACACTTCTTGGTTGTAGCTCTCACTTCTGAAACCGTCTTAGGCAGTGAGATTTTTGGTATTTCATTATTTTTTGAAAATTAAACCTTGAAGATAGCTTCAAAACTGCTCATACACTAAGCCAACTGTAATAGTTATATGATATTCGGTTTTACAGACCAGAAGTCTAATGTTGCTCAACATGCCTTTAAAAACGGTCACAAAAAAGTGAGGGATGCTTGAAATTTTTGAGACCTTATATAACAAACTGTTTTTTGATGCCTTCGAAAGTTCAAAGATAGTACAATGTGGAAAGATATCCATGGACAGCGACAAATTTCTCATACCACACAGTCCACTGTTCACTCTTTAAAGCAATAATTACTTGTAGAAACCAGATGAATATCAGTCATTATAACAGGTAGCCAACCATATATAAACAGGTACAGAAATACAATAACAAAACTATATAATGCTAAAAATTCATCAGATTACCTTCATTTGATGACCATCGTCATCGAAGGGGATTTTTTTGACCAGATTTATATGAAATATGTAATTTAGTCGTAGGATTTAATTTTAGTCATCTTCTGATGATGTTAACTTGGTTAGCGAAACGCGCATCAAGATAGACTATTTTTAGGAAAGAAAAAATTTGGCTTTCCACTTCCCCATCTTTATACAAAATAAAATTGATTTCAAAATCAACTCTTTACAAAAGTGTGCGACTCAGGCAAAGAAGTAACTTTCAGACACAAAATAGAATATGACACTGTTCATATAAGTAGTTGTTTTAAAAGTATTTTTCTTTAGTCTAATTCAATGTTTATATGAAATGAGCGGTTTTGAGAATGGTTTTTCCTTACAGTTTGTGTCTGAAAGTTACTTCTTTGCAGCATCTACACATCTTTATAAAGATTTTATTTGAAACTCAATTGCTTCCTTCCTTTCTTTGGAAAATTCCCACATTTTTGGTATAAAGATGAAGAAGAAGAAATCCAAAACCTTTCGTTTCTGAAATCATTTCAATACATGAAACATAACCTAGCATTTCTGTTCGTATATTTAAATAATTCATTTCCTTGATTATTCTATTTGACAGCAGGCCGTATTTCAGAAATAAAATTAAAAGAATTTTACTGAATGTTTCAAGCCAAACTGTTTTCACCTGTGAAAGTATTTATTCCTCTATTACACTATTATTACCCTTCTGAACAAAGAAATCCCAGAAACTGTTTCAGAAATTATTTACGAAAAGTTTTTCCATTCTGCTAGAAATGACTTCAAAACATAAATTCTCTATTTATAGCGCCATAACAACTTCAATTTGTAGTACCAAATATAAATTATTTCAATACAATTAATATTTTGAATTTGAACTAGCCAAGTCAATGATGTAAAAATCTTTTTTTTTCCGCGACACATCCTATCACCCTCATTAAAATTAATTCTATTTTACATTCAAAAAAAAAATTGTAAATCAAATTCGAAATTAGCGCATAAAAACTCGTTATAATCAAATTGAAACTCAATTTCATTAACACCCAGTTAACAGCTTTCTATTGTTAATGTTTGATAAGTAAAAGAAAAAATTTCTACACCAAAGATAACTTGGCTGGTGTTAAATGTCTAAACAAATTGCCGGTTTAGCCATCAGGTTACTTGCTTTATCTTTTTTTAACACAACATAATTAGTTTTGATAAGGGACAAACGCTGCTATAGCTGATATTTTGAAAGTCATTTGTACAGTGTCGCTCCAACGTACTTTCCGTAAAAGCAAATACATTCGGTACCGCCATTTTGAGTATCTGAAAGGTACTATTTTGATATAACAATACCATATGATTCTGACAATAATGGTTATCAACACTGTATTGAAGTAGAACCTAATGTTGACAAGTACCAAATTTGCTCTCATCCAAATGATCAGTGCCAAATTTGCTCTCATCCATAAAACATTCAAAAGAAAACACCGGGGAGGTAAAATACACCAATTAAAATTAGTACCTCTAATGCACATTGTGAATATAGTTAGCTGTGGTTAGTATTATACGTTGGTTAGAGAGAAAGTATTTTGAAAAAAACCTGTAAAAGATTCTTGATTACACTCCTAGATACATATATATAGTTTTGATTCTACCAAACACTCACAATTAACTGCATTAACGATGCTAACAGGGGGTATCATGCTCTAAAAGAAACAACTTACCATTAAATGTAGCATTTAAGAGTTATTAACACAAAACCCGAGAAGATACTTCATTAGTGATATAAGAAAAATAAAAACAAAGATGGCAACGGACAGAACAAAAGAAGAGAAAAAAATGTCTACCTTAGACACCTAGACCCAGTGGTCAGTTGGACCGTACCATCCGCAATAAAAAGGGACTCAAACTAGGAAAGAAATGCCAGATTTTTGGAGGGGGTAGTGAAATAAAGTATGTAAATGTACCGCTGTTGTGGTACCAGAGACGTCCCGAAATCACATTTCGGGGATTTTTTTTATTTGCTTCAAACAGAAAATAACGAAATACAACAGAGGATTGAAATAGTTTTATTTTTTACCGAAATATTCGATCATAAGTTGGTGATTTATAAATTACAATGGTAAAAATATAAACAAGATCACTTTTAATGAAGTTCGTTTATTTAATAGAATTAGAAGGTCGAACATTTTGTCGGTAAAAGTACCCCCGTCAGTTGGCGGGTGTACCAAATCGTATTGTGTACACTGACAAAGTGTTAAGCTGTTAAGCTGCACTGGCAGAGTATCCTAAAACCCTCATTTGAAGGTCAAATAGTGTTCTGCAAATACTCTGTAAATGTCAGTAGCGGCGCTAGACCAAAAGTAGTGGATCAATCCAGGGGTTCCCAATTTTATTTGGGCATCCTAACCCTAATTGGGAACCCTAATTGAGCATACATTTTTGGTGTACAGCGCCATCTGCCCGCGAATAGATCAAGCAATAATGTCGATAATTCTGTCAAATACAGATCACGAGCTTGAGAGTTACAAACAAACAAACATTCATACATACAGGTGAAGCTAATAGAAGCGTGTTAAAATACTCCATCATTGTAATGAAACAACTACTTAATGTGAAGAATGAAATAACATATTTTCTTATGAATATTACTGGTGTTGGGATAAACCTCCAGTAATATTCATTACTAAACCAAAGGTTCCAAACAGTGCATCACAAATATATTTTCTTATAATAGTGACAGACAGTTGGATACGAAGAACCAGTCTGTTTCTGTATTAATTTTTTGTGTAAGCGTACGCTGGAAATTCAGTCTCGCATCGGTAAGTCGTCACAAATGGAAACGGAACTAAGATAGCTTTTTCAACAATGGGAAATGTTCCTCAATTTGGGTTATTACAGCAAATGCGAGTTTGAACAAAAAGTTGAGTTTAATTCATGAGTTTTTCAAATTCACTTCGAAAAGTATTCAAATTGATGTTTCAAATGTTGGGTTTTAATTTTTAAAGGAATTTGTTTCTAATTCACATATTGGCAACAGCGCCTATATGAAGTTGAAATATTTTATACGCACCTAGATATTCTACTTTAAAAAAGAAAAATTATCTTTATAAATCAACAATTAAGGCAAAAATAAATTATAGTTCAATACCACCTCCACAAGCCACATAAACAACAGTTGTTTTGTTATTTATTTATATAGAGGAAGATAGGTTAGGTGCACAAAATGTAATGTCACAGAATGTCTCGGAACTCGGAACATAAGTAAACAGAGCAGCACGCCTCTGAAATGTGTCATCTTTGTTTGTCTCATACAGGTAACAGATTCATTGTCCTTTATTGGCTATAACCGATGTTGCCAA